CCCCCCCCCCCCCCAACCTGTCACCCCACTCCACAGAGCAAGTACAGCAAACGCAAGAGCCGCTTCAAGCGCTCCGATGGCAGCACCTCGTCTGACACCACCTCCAACAGCTTCGTCCGGCAGGTGAGCACGGGAGGGTCTTGATGGGGGGGGGACACAGACCCCCCTTTTGGCTCCTCTCCACCCCCCAGGAGCAGGTATCCTCTGAGGCTGAATGGGGACAGCCTCTTTGGTGGCCTTTGACCCCCAGGGAGCCATGTGAGGGGGTCCTGGTTTGCAGCTGAGCACTGGGGGGGGGGGGGGAGGGGACACAGCTGTTGTAATATCTGAGCCAGATCCATCTGTGCCCCCCCCAATTGAAGCAGAGACCAGGGGTCACCAGCCAAGGCTGTGCCTCCTCTCTCCTGCACGAGGGTGGGGCTGGGGGCATCCACCCCCTCGTATCAGGAGCCTTTGGGGTCCTGGGGCGTCTCCTGCCCCTTTTGATGCTGGGGGGGGGGGCACGCAGCCCACCTGGCATCACCCCCGCCCTCTCCAGCCCCATCCACCCACCGCTGGCTTGGCACTGTCCCCCCCACCCCCCCGCCCCAGGCTAAATATACCCCGGCAGGCTGTGGGTGTCTGAAACCCGACCCGCGGGCGCCCCAGCACGCAACGCCCGGCCCCCCCCCCCCCGGCCCACTTGCCCCCAGCCCTGCCACCATGGAGATGACCGGCAAAGACCACCTCGCCGCCCCGGTGAGCATCCCCCCCCCCCACCACTGCTTCCCCTTTCTGCCCCTCCTCCCTGTCCCAGGGTTTGGGGTCCCCCTTGACTTAGAAGGTCTGCAGGGTGAGGACCCCCCAGCAGCCCCTCCAGCCTGGCACCCCAAGGGCTGCTGGCCTCTGCCCCCCCTCGACCCCAGGCTGCGACGTACTGGTGGCTCAGATGGGGGGTGACTGATCTCTGCCCCTGTGGATTTTTTTGGGGGGAGGGTTTCCTGGGTGTCTGCTGCCCCATGGACGGTGGTAGTGTCTGTGCAATGGTGTTTGGGAAGGGGCTGCCCTGCTCTGTGGGAAGGGTGGGGGCTGCCTCAATGCGAGGATTACGGAGGAGCTGGGTGGGGAACAGCACCCTGCAGCGTTGGTGCCTCTGCTGTTCCCATGGGAGTCACGGCCCTGAGGGTCTCCCCACCACCCCCTCTGTGGCTCAAACTGCAGCATGGGGTGAAGTGAGGGGCCGTGGGGGGTGAGCAGAGGCCCCAGCTGCAGCCTTGTCCTGGGGTGACCCCCAGCCCCCCGTACCGTGCAGCCCCATTGCTGCAGGACCCCTGGGCGGCTGGAACAGAGCTGTCACTATTGCACTTCCCCCAGCTTGGTGCAGGATGGGGGGACAGCCGGGGTGCTGCCGGCTCTGGGGGGGTCCTCATCCCCCTCACAGTTTAACGAGAGGCCTGGAGCCCACTGACAGCAGGACGGGAGCGGGGTGTCACGTTCCGTGCCGGAGCAATGGGAACAGCTGCGCCGGCGCTCGGCCTGCCGTAACCCCGGCACGGCCCCCCTGGCTCAGGGGAAACTGAGGCACAGGCTGGGGGCAACGCATGGGGTCCTTCGGGAACTCAGCCACGGGGTGTCCCCTAGGTGGGCACCACTGTGTGGGATTTTGGGGATGCCTCAGTGCTGCAGTGGTGGCTGCCTGCCGGGACCGGGGTCGGCACCGGGGCTGCTCAGCATGGGGCTGAGGCTGGGGCTGATTCTCCCTTCTGTGGGGCTTGGGGCTGAGCCTCTTCCACACCATCACAGGGCTCAGCTGAGTCCTACACCAGCCGCCCCTCGGACTCGGATGTGTCACTGGAGGAGGACCGCGAGGCGCTGCGCAAAGAGGCTGAGCGCCAGGCACTGGCACAGCTGGAGAAAGCCAAGGTGGGATTAGGGGAATTGGGACCCTCATCACTGCAAGCCTTCCCTGGGGCATTGGCTCTCGCTGTGGGGTTGGAGGGGGATGCTGCCCCCACTCATCCCTTCCCACCTGCAGACGAAGCCGGTAGCATTTGCTGTCCGGACAAATGTCGGCTACAACCCATCGGCCAATGATGATGTGCCCGTGCAGGGCATGGCCATCTGCTTTGAGCCCAAAGACTTCTTACACATCAAGGAGGTGAGGGTCTGCTGGGGGGGAGCAGAGCAGGAGGAGGGTGCGAGTGGCACGGGCTTGGGGGTGGGGGTTGGCAGGGTGTGGGGCTGAGGGTGGCAGGGTGTGGGGCTGCTGTGCGCCGTCCATTTGCCGGCTTTGAGGTGTTTTCTGTGTTCCTCCCCTGGTGCAGAAGTACAACAACGACTGGTGGATCGGGCGGCTGGTGAAGGAGGGCTGCGAGGTCGGCTTCATCCCCAGCCCTGTCAAACTGGAGAACATGCGGCTGCTGCAGGAGCAGAAGATGAGGCAGAACCGACTGAGCTCCAGGTTCTTCCCACCCTCTCCAGCCCCTTGGAATCCTCACACAGCCCCATGCTTACCCCTCTCTGCTTCTTCCCTCCCAGCAAATCAGGTGACAACTCCAGCTCCAGCCTTGGTGACGTGGTGACGGGGACACGCAGGCCCACCCCTCCAGCCAGTGGTAAGGATGTCTGGGCTCCCCATGGGGAGCAGGGCTGGCCCAGCACGGTGGGGGGGGGGCCTTGTCCTGCTGGGTACTGGACACCCCTCCCAGTGCCCCTCCTGCAGCTGGGTCCTCTCTGCTACTTCCCCAGCACCGGGAGGGACGTGCAGCCCCACTGGTCCCCGTGTGGGACCGAAGTGCAGCCCCACATTGCACACTCATGCACACATCCAAATAAGAGTGCACGGGGTGCCCTTCCAGCCCTGTGTCCCTGCACTCTTCACACCCCCTGCTCCCATCCAATCCCCCCTTTCACCACCGTTATCGCTGTTCTTCTCTCCCCTCCGGCCCCGGCGCGTCCCCAGGTGCCCTGGACACACCTAGCTTTGCCTTTGAGCCCGATGAGTTAGAGGAGGAGGAGGCTGCGGAGACCCACTGCTCCCCTAAGAGTAGTGTGAGCAGTGTCACCACCCCCCCCGCCCACTCCAAGCGCATCCCCTTCTTTAGGAAGGTAACAGAGCCCAATCTGGCCCCACGCCTGCCTGCTGCACCCTGCCTGCCCTAACACTGCCGGGGGCTGCGGGGGCACCGTGGGGTGGATTGGTCCATAGCTGCTCCCCCTGTGATCCAGAGGATGGATCATTCCATGGATGTATCCCTCTGTCATCCATGGGATGGATCATTCCGTGGCTGTATCCCCCCATGGTCCGTGGATGGATCATTCCGTGGCTGTATCCCCCCATGGTCCATGGGATGGCTCAGTCCATGGCTGTGTGCCCCCTGATCCATTGGATGGATCAGTCCGTGCCCCCCCTCCCCCCCTCAGGGCCCCCCGGTGTGCGCATGGTGTGTGGCACAGCTGTGTTTGTCTCCCCCGCAAATGAGAGTGGAACATTCCTCCTCCCCCAAACTGGGCACGGTGCTGGGGGGCTCGGGTGCAACCACTGCGTGGGTAGGGGGGTGCTGAGGTGCTGCTCCCCCCCCCCAAAGCCTCGCAGAGCCCCTGCTCACACCCCAACGCTAATCAAGAGTAGGGCAGCATTAATACAGAACGAGCTCCACTGGCACGATCTCCCTTTGCCATTGGAGCTGTGCCCCCCCTGGGCTCCCTGGTAACCCCCCAGCCCAGTTTGGGGCCTGAATCCCCCTCCCACAGTAACACGCATGCCTTGTTTGTCTCCCCCTGCCCGCCCCGGCGCCTCGGGACGTAGCGAAGCAGAAGCAGAAATCGGTGAGTAGCGTCAGGACCCCTGGGTTTGGGGCAGGGGAGGAGGGGGGAATAGGTTTGCTGCCACTCCTGGGGCCTCCCCGTCCCTTGGCATCACCCTGGGCTCCTGCTGTGCCCCCCGGCCCAGCGTGAGCCCCCTGACCCCAGTGCTGCCCTGCAGGCTGAGCATGTGCCACCCTACGATGTGGTTCCCTCCATGAGGCCCATCATCCTGGTGGGACCATCGTTGAAGGGCTATGAGGTGAGGAGCGGGGCTGGGAGGGAATCCCAGGGTGGGAGAACACACAGAAGGCCCCAGCAGTTCCATGCCCTCCTCCTCCCCTCCCGCAGGTGACAGATATGATGCAGAAAGCACTGTTTGATTTCTTGAAGCATCGCTTTGATGGCAGGTGAGGCAGGAGGCAGCGGGGGCTTCTGCCCCTTGGTGGGGGGCACTCAACCCCATGGGAGGCTCTTAAGCCATGGGGGAGCCCTCAAGCACGTGGGAGACCCTTAATCTCATGAGAGGGGCCCTCACCCCACAGGGGACCTCTAACTCCCATGAAGGACTCTTAGCTCTCTGGAGACCCCCTGGTTTGAGTGCCCCCAAGGAGAAGGAATCTCCACTTCATCCTGATGCTTGGGGTGGGAGGAATGGCTGGGGGGGGGAGGGGGGAGGCTCTTGTGGGGAGCAGATGTTTGATGGGGGTGTTTGGACCCCCGCCAGCCTGTGTCCTTCTCACAGGATCTCCATCACGCGGGTGACGGCCGACATCTCCCTCGCCAAGCGCTCTGTGCTGAACAACCCCAGCAAACACACCATCATCGAGCGCTCCAGCACACGCTCCAGCCTGGGTAAGGCGGCTGCAGCACCTCGGCCACCCCAAGCTCCCATCTGTATCAGCCCAGCAGCCTCCTGCTCCCTTCCCCTCCCTCCTGGGATGCTCAGCGTGTCCCTCCTTCCTGCACAGCCCCTCCACTCTGTGGGGTGATGAGTGCATGGGGCGAAGGGCACCTGGGACCTTTAGCTCCCACTGTCAGTTTGACTCAGTCTCTCTTCCCCTCCTCCCTTTTACCTTCTCTCTTTTTTTTTCTTCTTCTTTTTTTTTTTTCTTTCTCCTTTCCCATTTGGGGTTCCTCCCCTCTGCACCGCTTCCTTCCTCCCCTGCTCCTGATACAGATGTCTTGGGTACGTAGCGTGTTCTCCTCGGGTAGCGCGGGGTGGGAGACAGCAGGGGATGCAGCCCCACGGGTCCCTGTCCCCCCAGCTGTGCTCTACTGCAGGGTCTGAGTGCAGCCTCTGCAGGCACCCACCCAATGCATGTGTCTGGGGGTTCTCATTCCCTTCCTTCCCCAGCACTGAGAGCCCACTGTCTCCCATCTGTGGGACTGGGGTGCTGCTGGTGTGGCTGAGCCTCTCCTGGCCCTGTCCCACTCCCCACGTCCCATGCAGCCGTCCCTGCAGCCCCCCCTTGCTGTCTCCGTGCCCTTGTGACTCCCTCTGTCCCCCCACTCTGGCAGCTGAGGTACAGAGCGAGACGGAGCGCATCTTTGAGCTGGCCCGGACCCTGCAGCTGGTGGCCTTGGATGCTGACACCATCAACCACCCGGCCCAGCTGGCCAAGACCTCCCTGGCACCCATCATCGTCTACATCAAAATCGCCTCCCCAAAGGTGAGTGGGGGCTGTGGGGCGGGCAGGTGGCAGCGATGGGGCCGAGGTTCTTGTGCCCCCCACCCCACACCTCCCTCCCTCCTGCTCCAGGTGCTGCAGCGGTTGGTGAAGTCCCGGGGCAAGTCTCAGGCCAAGCACCTCAACGTGCAGATGGTGGCCTCTGACAAACTGGCGCAGTGCCCGCCTGTGAGTGACCCCAACCCAACCCCTGCCACCACCCTGCGGCCTTTGGCTCCTCCCCTTCCGGCAGAAGCCCCTCCCACTGCCTCCTCTTTGCATAGAGATTCCACCTGTCCTGGCCCTGGGCTCCACCCACCACCATATTTGGTTATGTAGGCTCCTCCCACCGAGTGATGTAGGCCCCGCCCACCACCATATTTGGTTACGTAGGCCCCACCCCCGCGTGTCGTAGGCTCCGCCCAGCACCTTATTTGTGTACACCGGCCTCACCCATTACCTTATATGGGTACATGGGCCGCCCCTCTGCATGCTACAGACTCCGCCCACCACCTTATTTGGTGCGCATGCCACACCCACGACCTTATATGGGCATGTGGGCTCCGCCCCATGCACCACAGGCTCTGCCCACTTCCTTATATGGGCACATAGGTCCCACCCACCTGTGTGCAAGCTCCGCCCTTCACCTTATTTGCATCCGTAGGCTCCGCCCCCCGCCCTCCCACCATCCTGGCCTTTAGGCTCCATGTCCATACGCCCCCCACCACCACGGTTTCCTCCCCGCAGGAGATGTTTGACATCGTGCTGGATGAGAACCAGCTGGAGGAGGCCTGCGAGCACCTGGCCGAGTACCTGGAGGCCTACTGGAAGGCGACGCACCCCCCCAGCAGCAACCCCCCCAACCCGCTGCTCAACCGCACCATGGCCACAGCCGCGCTGGCCGCCAGCCCTGCGCCCGTCTCCAACCTGCAGGTACAGGTGCTCACCTCCCTGCGCAGGAACCTGGGCTTCTGGGGCCGAGGGGGCACTGACACCACCCCCAGCCCTCAGGAGGAGCACGCGCTGTGAGGTGGCGGCAGGGCACCCGTGGGACCTCCCCCCGGGGATCAGGGACACCCCCAAGGATCAGGGACAGCCTGGGTTTTGGGGACACCCCGGGGAACAGCTGCCTCCCTAGGGTTGCCCCTTCCTCTGGGGATGTGCTCCCTGCTCTGTGGTTGATGCCAGCCCTGTGCCCCTGAAGTCATCCCCCCCCCTACCCCAGGATCTAATCCCCACCCCGGGTTTGGGGCCATCCCACTGTGGTGAGGTTCTGTTCTCTGTGGATCAGGGCCGCCCTTTGGGATCTGCCCCCTGGGGTTGGGGTCTCTCTGGGGATCCATGTCCCCTCCACACAGCTCTGCAGAGCTCTCCTGGGTTATAGCGAGGACTTACGGGAGCCCCTGGGGGGGCTGAGCTCCAGGACGCCCCTGACCCCCCTGGGTCCAGCTGTGTCCAAGCCGAGGGGGGCCCACAGCCCCCCCAGGACATCAGGCAGAGGAAGGACGTGTGTCCTGTGTTGTCTGTCGCTACTTCCTTCAGCAATCAGGGCGCTGCTCTGCACCAACCCTGACCCCACCACCTCCCCGCTCCGTCTTCCCCCATGCCCTCCCTGCTCTGGACCTGCCCTGGTGCCCCCCTCCCTCCCCCCCCGGCGCTGGATGAGACCCACATCTGGACTGCATGGCACGGAGTGTGCAGACTGGGCTGGGGCGGGAGTGCATGTGCCCCCCCTACTCACCAAACCCCGCGGTGTGCAGCTAACACCCCCCCCTTCCCCCCACTAACCCGTCCATCTGTCCTTGCACGGTGTGGTTGCTTCTCCCAACCAGGGTCCATACCTGGTGCACGGGGAGCCGCCGGGCGAGGGGAACGTCCGGGAGGGGGGGCCCATCCCACCGCCTGCCCGCTCGGCCCCCCCCCGCCGCCTGTCCCGCCAGGACACCTTCGACTCGGAGACCCCCGGCAGCCGGGATTCAGCCTGCACAGAGCCCGGCAATTCTTGCATGGACGTCGAGACCGATCCCGGTGAGGAGGACCCCCGTGCCCCCCCTGGTCCCCGCGGTGCGTGGGATGAGGAGCGGGGCCGGGGACCACGGGGACGTGCCAAGGGCCACGACCGCTACTGCCCAGAGCCACCGGAGCCTTTGGGTCTGGACCAGAGTGACACAGAGGGCTGGGGCCAGGAGGTTTACATCCGCTAGGGTGGGGGGGTGTAGGCAGGGATGCCCCCCCCCCAACCCCAGTGCTGGCTTTAGGGCCAGGGGTTGCACCCAGCTGGGTGTCTTTGCAGGCCACGTGCCCAAAGCCTGTTCAGCTGTGCCATGGGGTGTCCCCCACCCCACTCTTGGTATTAAGGGGGGAGTCTCCCACCCACCGCAGCCCCCCCAGCATCTTGCGGTGCCTCGGGCTTTTCCTGTCCCACAGGGAGAGCGAGTGACCAAAGGGGACGTGCCTGTGGCTGGTGTATCCCCATCCCCTACGGCACAGGGTTGGGGGCTGCGCTCTCCCCAATACCCAGCCCTTGCCTGCTGCCTGCAGCCCCCTCCCCAGGGTGCACCCGCTTCTCCATGGTGCTCTTTGCCACCCTGCTGCAGGGGAACCCCTGAGCTGGTGGTGGAGGGGTTCCCTGCCAGCTGTCCCCTCCCCAGCTAGTGCCTGCCCCACAGCTGTGGGAGGGGTGCATGCGTGTGCTGTGTGTGCAGGGTTTTGGGGTACCCACTGAGTGCTGCCTGCCTGGGGAGGGGGGGGCATGGTTTTTGCATGTGTTTGCATTGGAGTGGGGGAGGATTTTGCCTGTTTTTGGTGGTGGGGGGGAAATCTGAGCCAATTGGGGTGGGGGGGTGTCTAACATGTGCTAACAGCTGCCCCAGCCCTGGCCTGCCACAGTGCCCAGCAGGTCCCGGGGGGTCCTGTGCTACCCCCTCCCCCTTCCTCTTTCCCTGGGACCATGGGAACACACCGAGCAGCACCAGGCCCTGGCCCCTACCAACCCCCTCTGTGCCACCTCCTCTCCTTGCCTGTCTGCTCTTTCCCCATCCAGCTGTGTCTGTCTGTCTGTGTGCCTGTCTGTCTGTCCCCCACCCCAGTTCCCCAGGGCACTGCCTTCACCTGTGCCCACCCTGGGGTGTCCCTTATCCCTGTGCCCCCATGAGAGTCACAGCACTGGGGTGGGAACACCCCGTGGCCAACCCTTGCAGCGGGGCTGGGCTCACCTTTCGCCCCCCACCTTGGGGTGATGCTGGGGGGGCCCTGGGGTCGCTGCCTTACCCACACCACCAGCCTTGCCAGCCCGGGCTGGGGGGGGCTCCAGGGTGCTCAGCTCTGTTGCTGCCAAACCGCCTCCGCCCGTTGTGTGCCTCAGTTTCCCCTTTTTTGCTGGGGGGAACTCAGTGTCACTGCCTGCCAAGTGCTTTGAGACCCGCCTGCCCCGGTGCTTGCCCCCACCGGGGCCGGGCAGCTGGGCCCCCCCCACCCCCCAGCTCTCCTGAAGGGCAGAGGGACGTCCCATATTTATGTCATCCCACAAACTTTATTTAAAGACCCCGACAAAGTGTATTTTATTTATTTATTCTCCTTGGTGTGTGGGGGGACTCGCCCCGCTCGCTTGGTTCTTTGTAATAAACATTTCGGTGAGATCTCCCCGTGGCTGTGCCTGGTGGGGCTGCACAAGGAGGGTGGGGGGCTGAGACCAAGCACAGCTTTGCTCTGCAGTGACTGCAGCATCTCCTGGAGGGGGTTGGAAATGGCCAGGACCTGCCTGGCTCCTGGGGAGGGACACGTCCTGCAATGGGGCTGTACATGCTATTTACAGGCAATAAATACAGCGCTGCTGGCTCAGGGCTGCCGGCATCTCCACTCGCTCTTCTCTGGCCAATACTCAAATGCTTTCCTGCAGGGAGACACGAGGACATCAGTCCCTGCCCTGAGCCCCCCCCCAGGACATGGGGACATCAGTCCCTTCCCCACAGGGCTGCTCAGGGCCTGTACTCACTCTCGTGGTGGAGGCGATGCTCGGCACACCAACCCAGCCTGGCAGGGGCACACCTGGTTGATGCTGAATGCCAAACCCCCGGGGGGCACATGGCAGCTCTGCCCCAGCTCCAGCCGTTTCTGGCACAGCATCTCACCGTGCCGCCGCGCACAGCAGCCACCCGGCCCACAGTCCTCATCCTGCTGGCATCGTGCTCCTTTGGGGGGGCACAACAAAGAGAGGGGTTAAGGATTGAAGGCCCCCAACCCCGTGCAGGTTGCAAAGTCACTCAGCCTCATGCATGTTGCAGCTGGGGTTGCAATGGATCTGATGAAGGATGGTGGTACCAACCCCACCTCCACCACATCCCTCTGCTCCCGGGGTTGTGGTTATGGGGCTGCCCACCCCCATCTGCTGCTCACCCTCCTGCCCATCAGGCACGGGCTGCTGGCACTTCCCAAAGGTGCAGAGGAGGCCGTGGGTGCAGTGGGTGTCACGGCGGCAGTACTGCCCAGCAGGCCGTGTGGGCAGGCACAGCCCAAAGTGTTCATCACAGAAGTGTCCGTGGCCACAGGGGGTGGTAGGGCCACACGGTGTCACCTGCATGGGGGGAAGAGCAGCGTGGGGTCAGGGGGGGCCAGATCCATCCCCGCCTCTGGGATGAGTCAGAAATGGTTCTGGAGGGCAGCACGGGGTGGGATTGGGTTTGGGTTCTGTGTGCCTGTCTGTCTGTCCCCCACCCCAGCTCCTCAGCCAATGGAGCTGGGGCTGCTCAGGATGGTCAATGGGGAGCCTCGGGTGCCAGGGGGCTTTAAGGGGCTGCTGGCTCACAGGGACCCATCCCTGGAAGAAGGGCACTGCCGCTCTATGCGGTTTTCTCGTAGGAAAAGAAAACCCCGAGCATAACGCCCACCGCACGCGTGACGGTATTTGGGGCGGGGGTCCCAGCATCATCGCTCTGGCAGCCCGTAAAATTCCTGCTCCAGGTGAGGCTCGAACTCACAACCTCGGCATTGCTCCGCGTACTGCCCTATAAGTACCGCGCGCTGACCGATTGCGCCACTGGAGCGCCCGCTGCCGCCCGCCGCGCCCGCGCCCCCTCCCGACCCGACCCCGCATCCCCCCCGCATCCCTCCTGCATCCCCCCCCATCCCTCCTTCCCCCGTCCATCCTTTCCGCATCCCTCCATCCTTCCTCCGTCGCTTCTGCATTTCTCCGTCCTTCCCCCCGCTCACCTCCTCCGCGCTGCCCCCCGGACCGGCGCTTCTGCCCAGCTCTGCTCTATCGGGCGGGTGTTGGGGCAGAGCGTACATCCATGCCCAGAGGTGCGCGGCGGCTGCGGGCAGAAGCGCGGCGAGGAGGCAGAGGAGCGCCGGGAACGGCTGCATGGCGCTGACGGCGGTGGCACTGAGGGGCTCCCGGTGGGCGCTGCCTATTTGTAACCCGCGGCCCCCGCTGCCCCCCGCTGCTCCGTATGTTTGCACGCCTAATGGGGAAGGAGGAGGCAATCAGGGTTTAAGGGATTAACGTAATTGCAGCCTTCCCCTCGCTGGGTGCTACAGCCCCAAAGCAAACCGCCCCCTCGGAGCAGTCTGGCTCCGGCGCCGCGCGACTCCGGCGCTGTCCCTGCGCTCGGTGCAGCCCCCCCAGCGCCCACGGGGGTGACGAGCTTTGCACCTTCCCTAACGGCTCTGCTAACGAGGTGTCCGCTGCCCGGCTCTCGTCTCGTGAGCAAACCTCAGACGGGTTCCGCTGGTGCTGCAGGCAGTGCCGGGCCGTACCGCCGCCAGAGCCGCTCTGCAGTGGGACGAGCGGTGCGGGACCCGTCCCGGTGCGGTGCTGCGCTCCGGTGCCCCTCCATCGGACTCACGGACACGTCGGGCCGTCCGTCCTCCTGGTGACCCCCGTCCCTCTACCCGGAGCCTCAGTTCCCCCCCGCCCCACACACAACGGACGCTGACGGCTGACGCGGTCAGGGGTGTCCCGAGCCACAGCGCTGCGAGCTGATCCCACCTGCAGCTCCCCGGGGCTCAG